GTTGATGGTGGTTGAGATTTGTCTGGCAATGGCAGTGTCCTCATCTTGCTGTGAAAGGGGATTCTCTTGTATGGGGCGACTCAAATCAGAGTATCGAAACTCACTTGATGTTGAAACTGTTGACATGCTCATGAACATCTGCCTCAATGGTTCAAGTCCCGAGGACTTTACAGCTGAAAGGGCAATTTTGCATTGGAACCAGGCATCACAAAGAATGCGAAGGCCTTGCTTAAAGGATTGATGACCTAACTTAAGCCTAAGACAGCAATGAAGTTGATAAAACTGCTGCTATTCTATTTATGTTGCAACTATGGCCTGTAACTGGGAAGAATTATAATTGTAATACACTTATCATTGTTGCTATGTATCACTAAAAAGATACATGTAAATTGTTGTGTTTATTTGATCATAGTGTGGCATTTACATGTGTTTACCTACACACACAAATTAAATACGTGCAAAAAAAAATGTAAAGGGTGACCAGTAACTTTGCTCCTGGGACCAGTAAATTCTTAGCCTACTGGTCCAGTGGAAGACCAGAGCTAAAAGTTAAGTTCGAGCACTGGTTACCATAGCAAAAAGATGCCTATTTCATAGCATAATTTTTCTTGGTGCTTTAATTTCTCCAACCACCTTATCTGTTGAGTGAATTTAGGTGGCACTCACCACTCTCACATTACCAGAATGTGTGATCAGTTGCGGTTGTTTTTTTCTCAAATCACAAAGAATTATAGTTTTTTTTTTATGAACAACGGTGTCTGTGCCTGTAATGCACTCCCTCTAATATTACGTCTGCAATGGACTGTAAAATGCTCAAGTCCTTGGCAAACACCATTCTATCCAATCTTTTTAATTGCTGTTTGTCTATTTGTTTTAAGTGAGTTTTTTTTTTTTCAGGTCTGTTTAAATTAGATTAGTTACTCCATCAATAGAATGAAATGTCATACCCACTAATGTTCCTATTTTGTTTATTTCATAGGTGATATTTAAGAAACTTTACAAAAATTCTGCACGAGAGCAAGGTACTCTAAGATACTTTAGAGAGAAGTTACAACGTCGTAATGTTACCAATGATGTGAAACACTACGAGGATTGTGAACAGCTGTTCCTCTCAATTGGCAAGGGCTTCACCGTTGAGGCGCTGCTGGAGTTCTTTGGAATGGAATCCAAAGAGGATTGCATTAAAAGGAACAGGCCCCCATACTATATTTTGGAAGTAGAAGACAACAAGAAGAAATACTATGACTCTGTGTTAGATAAATTTGTTGATCAGTTCCTTATTAATTCTCCTAATGATAATGATGATGATGATGATGATGATGAAGAAAGCAGTCCTACAAGCAATGATTTTGTGAGGAATTACTTATTGTGCCTCTTGAAATACTATTTCATATTTTTGGATTTTAACGATGCTGTGAAGGAAGGCAATGGAGAGAGAATTGCAACTCTCCATAAACAGCTAGTACCACATTTTAAGGCATTACCAGGCTTCAATAACTATGCCATTGAAATGTTGATCAGTGTTGTGCAGAACAGTGTTTTTTAATCTGATGCTGAGGCCCACCAGTGCATCTGGGCATCCACCGTCAATTGGAGAGGAGGTGCTAGGAATAATATTGAAATTGTTCTGCTCCAAGAAAACAGAAATCACTAAAGAAGTCAATTAAGGCAATGGGTGCAAACAAAACTGACAATGCTATTGACAGGTCTAGCCATGCTTCAGGAGGGGAAGATAAAATTGCGGAAAACTTTGATGTTCAAATACACAGAGAAAGCCAGTCCTCCTCTCATAGCCACAGAACAACAGCTGCAGATGAAGGTATTGTTATGGCAGATCTCCGTGTTGTAAAGCCCTTTACCAGTGTGCCCAACAGAGTGCATGAATCTTTTCAGGATATACATCCCAACCCTTTAATATCCGTTGATGACACAGAACTTAACAACTGGCTTGAACGACACAAGAAGAACTTATTATTGGATGCGCCACTGGGTCATGAAGATGAAGATGATTAAGAGTCAATGTCAGTAAGAATCGGAGATAATCCCAAAATCACGGACACAGCTCAAAATTCGTTTTCGGTGATACTTTTTACGTTGATAGAGTATTGTATCGTAGTTAACAAAATAGGGTTAGTTTTGTCTAATTTTTGCGTTCATAAGGGGAATTAAATAAAATCGGTTGGGTCCGTTTTGCACCAAAATGACCTCTTTGATGAACCGAAATTTTACTATATTCGTGACTCTTTCAAGTTTGCGGGGTAAAGCCTATAAATGATTTCTTACTATGAATAAATAGCTTGTCCCTTGGTCAATTAAATATTGTCTATAATGACTCATAATTTATTTTATATGACTCGTAGAGAGCTTTTCGTTGAAGGCACTTCGTTGCCTTTTCTGAATCGCTCTAAAGTGACATAAAAGACTTGCCTAAAAATCCGGTCGGTACGCCAAAATATATCCTCAGACTAAGCTTTCTCTACAGTTTAAGGATAGATGTTTTATGTTTCATTTTCATTTCTTTGGGATCTTTTTCAGTTTTTCGATACGACTGCCCCGAAGATTGCTAATTTGCAAGATTTTTCGATGACCGCCATATTGAAACTGCGAGAAAGTACCGTACAAAAATCGTATTACTTTTGGATTAATTGAGTCTAAAATTATAAGTGCAAGTGAGATTTAGCTTGGTATATCACTAAGTCGCTGCCCTTACGTTATTTTTAAAGTTAACGGCAGTTTGGCAGTGGCTTATAGGATTGAGACTCCATGCATGATATCGTGACATTGATTTCCTACACGTCACGCACCGACCTTTGACACCGTTATTAGACTTCACATAACGTCGAACAACGTATGAGCGATTTCCGCTTTGAAATCCTCCGCTATATATTCCGTTTCCTTTAGAGGAAAGGACTTCACGAACTCTTTTTTTTTGGACCGCACGAAGCCATTATGCAAATACAGAACACCTGTGTAAATAGTACATCGCGACTTCGCGGTTGTCAACACGGCATTTAAACTGAAACAATAAAAAATCTATGGCTAAAGATCCCTTCAAAACTGAGAAAACTTTGATTTGGACTGGCGTAAAGTCCCTTAAAATGAAAATTGGGATTGAGACTGGCATAAACAAGATGCATCAAAAATATATTTACGTTTGCAGCACTTGATAATTGAATTACTTTGGCGTACTTACAACCAGTATTGTGTTATCATTGTTTCAGTCTACAAGTCTCTCTCCGAAAAACTAATTTTCACCGTAAATTTCTCAAGGAAGTAAAACAGCGCCGAGTTAATCGTTAAACGTAAACGTTGACTTACAATATTGAGCGATGGTGTGTACCTTCTCACTTTTGTTCGGTGGAGAATGCGGGGCTGATCCAAAGTCAAAGACTACGTCGCGTAAAATCATACCCTTGGTATCATGCTCAAAGAATATATCGAGCCCCAAAAACAGCTTCAATTCAGTGGTTGCGAAACGGAAATTGAGCTTATTCTAGCCCGCAGTGGTTGTTTCCAAACGCCAGAAAATATCCACGACATGACTATCTGTCCGCTGCACCGCGTTAGTTTGGGTATTGGGTGGCGAAGGTCTAAGCGGGTATGCAGTGTTCCAGGCAAACTCTCTGGACACAGTGAAGAATCCAAGAAAAATGCCGAGCGGGGTTGTAGCTTGGCTCAGTCGAAGTACATATTGGAAGCCACTGGTGAATTCATTCCAGTTGGTTCAGGTAAATATAATCCTTCTTCTTTTGTAATACTTGCGGGAGTAAAACATTTGTTTATAACGTATGACGTCATATAACACATCAAACATATCTCTGCCGTCGTTAAAATGGTGAGTCAGTTCAGTTAGCTAGGCTGGCCCGTTTTATTGGAATGGTTCGGCTAATACCTTGGTTCCCTTTAAAATTTCCGTTTTGTTAATATATGAAGCCGGACTGACCCACTTGCAGAAATCTCTCCTCAGGCAACCAGTATCTCGTCAGCCTGGTCTCTCATATAAACATAGCAAAAATTTTATAAGGACACAGGGTATAAGCCGAGCCAGCCGGATAAAGCAGGCAAGCTGGGCTAATCGGGCTGGCTCACTTCACATAAACAGGCCTTTAACCCTATGTTCACACTATGCAAGATATCTTTGTTCCAGCAAGAAAACCAAACCCGGGATAGAGCTTTTGTTCACACTCAAGAACTGTGATTTCGGCATCATTTCTGGAAAGGAGCCAAGCTGCGCCTTACCAATTTTGAAGGGTAGCCTCGCATATAGTCTCCGTAGCTGGCGGTTTTTTGATGTGTGTTTTTTTTCTTCTTTTGTGGTTCGCAAAGTAAGAATTACAGCCGAGCGATACGCTGAACCAAGATCGAAAAAGAAAACGATGAGAGAGGGGTGTGTGTAAAAATGATAAATGGCATAGCAAGAAATCAGAAATGCAAGTGCGGGTGAGAAAATATAAAAAGAGTGGGTTAACATTTTTGTAATTTTTTATATTTTTTTAGCGATTTGTACTAAGTGTCGAAAGAACCTGACGAAACAAGCACATACCCCTGAAAGCAGTCTGCCACAAATAGATTTTGACGAACTTACAGAGCATCTAGGTGAGCTTACTCTGGTAAGTATGACATTCTATGATTTACGTCTACAAACTAAAAAGATCTTTCCTTGTAATATTAGAAACCGTACGCAGCTAGTTTGAATCCAATTTTGAGTACGTTCAAACTGTTTTATGTTTGTACTGACAACAACGAAACTGGAAGAAGAAGTATTTTGGAGTCTTACTTCAGACTTTTTAATTTTTATTTTGTGAAATTTTAGGCAGAAACTGCAGCAGCCCAAGTAATTCATGTTGATGAAAGAAGAGAGAGTATATTCATCCCGAAAATGGGACTTGGAAGGTTCTGATTTTGAGAACAGACCGCATAGAAGCCAAGTAGACATGGCAAAAGAGCCTTTAAAAAAGTTAAACGATTTTTTAGCCTCTCGTGATGTTAACCTTGTTCGACATAAGTTGTCCGTTCCATGGGAAAGTGCTAACGAGCGCACAAAGAGAAGGTACAGCCGTAAAGCAAAAAAAAAATGTTCAAGAGGTTCTTGAAGTAATTGCTCCAGGACAAAGTGATAAATTATTGACCACATTAGGTGAAAGCTTACCATCTGAGAGAACACAAGCCGAAGAAGAAATTTTACAAGCCTTAGCAGAAAGCTATTTAAACGCAACTCACTGGAGCACGAGAAGACAAATTTTGTCCATCTTGGCAGATAAACTATCGCTTAAGGAACTGACGCATTACATTCCCGGGGTGACGCCTTACAGATTTAACATCGCGCGGCATCATAGACTGTTACATGGTAGAGGTGCGATCGTACCTACTGATATCACTAGGCGTATGAAGGTTGATTTCGCCAAAGTTGATCATTTTCTCGACTTTATTACAAGTTCTCATATTGTACAAGACATGCCATTTGGAGAAAAGATGCTGAAACTTTCAACAGGGGAGGTGATTAAAACACCTAATGTCGTACGGATGCTAATACCAGAACGGATAACACAACAGTATTTTCAGTTTTGTACCGAGACCAATTTCACTCCGATGAGCAAGCGCACACAACTCCGAGTACTAGACGTTTGCTCTGCGTCAGTGCGCACCTCTCTGCAGGGCTTGGATAACTTCTCTGCACAAGGCAGTAAGGCAATAGAAGATCTTAGCGAGATAGTAGACAAGATAGCAGATCAAGCAAAGTCACAAGCCTGGGCCAAGGAAATGAAACAAACACTTCGGTCTGCCAAACAATATCTGCGGTCTGATTACAAGGTAAGGCTATCTTAATATTTGGTTATTCTTTTAGTAGATTGTTAACTTTGTACTTTGGCTGGATTGATGCTAAATTTAAGCGAATTGGTCATAAACATGAAAGTCAACTTTCTCTGGCTGCATTGTACTAACTAGTATTGAGGCTAAACCTCGAAACATTGATTAAGCGGAAGCTATCTTCAATTTGCGCCCTTTAAGCGGTTCGGACAAGCTTTAATAAGTTTCAAACTTCTTTTACTACTTTTAAAAGATTTTACCCTAAAGCAGCTGATATTAATAACGAAAAATCATAGTAAAAATTATGATGATAGTGATAACTATGATGATGACGACGATAATAATCTTTCACATTTTAGGTGCACGTTACAATGGAATCAGAAGTTGCCGATCACTGTTTAACGTTTTCCCTAAGTGATCCTAAAAATAGTTGTTTTCAAGGAAAGTGTAACCATAACCACGATGAGGTCTGCTACGAATGCAATAAATTAACCGGGGTGCTGTCTACCATAAAAGAAGCGTGCGCAGAACTTCAGTCTGAAGAAGAAAGAGATGACAGTATCTGTTTAGTGGCTCAAGCTGAAAAGGACATTTTGGCATGGAAAGCTCACCAACTCCGAACAGTTAACCAGGATCAAGCAAAACATGACGTGTTAGATGTCATATTTCGGAGTTCAGCATTATTAGTTATGGACTGGGCGATGAAATTCTTACCGCGAAAGTTTTGCGAATCACAGTGTGACTGGTTCGCCAAACGTGGTATTCCATGGCACATCACAGTGGCTTTTACAAGATCAGAAGCAAATGCCCCGCTTGAGAAGCTCACTTTTGTCCACCTGTTTCAGAGTTGCCCTCAGGATAGCGTTGCAGTAACCACCATTTTACAAGATGTTATCGAGATGTTAAAGGAGCGTCGGCCACAACTGCAAAAAGTGTATTGCAAACAGGACAACGCAGGATGTTATCATTGTGGGTCAACAATTGTAGGAAGCAGGTTGAACAGTCTTTCTGATGTCAAGGTGGAGAGGTTCGACTTTTCAGATCCACAAGGGGGCAAGGGAGAAGCCGACCGCCAGGCCGCAACAATTAAAGGACATATCAAGGTGTACTTAAACAAGGGGCACGATGTGAACAACGCTACACAGATGAAAGAAGCCATTGAATCAAATGGCGGTATTCCTGGCGTTATTGTCAAGTATGTGAAGCCTCCCGAACTATCTGCTGGCAAAAACGTGATCAAATGGGACGGAATTAGTACGCTTAATAACTTCCAGTTTTGTCCAAATGGTATCACAACATGGAAGGCTTATAACATCGGGCCCGGAAAGCTGGTACCATGGAAGGACATTCAAACCGATGGTATCTTTCCTGCTACACTTGAAGTTTTGGAGCCTCCTGATACCCGCTCTCAGCAGTCAAGCTTTAGAAAAATCAATCCTAGAAAGGAATTGCAGCAAAAATCTTTGTCCGAACAACGGCTGAGTAGTCCTGACCAGCAAGAGACAGCAGGACAAGACATTGATGTAGAAAAAGAGAAAGAGGAAGTAAGCGGCCTTTTTACCTGCCCAGAAGATGGGTGTATTCAGACACTCCATCGGTACTCAAGTTTGCAAGCACATTTAGACGAAGGAAAGCACAAGCGCGCGCTAGAAAAAGAAACACTGTTTGACAAAGCCAGAAAAGGATACGCTGCGAGAATAACTGGAGAGCAAACGAAAGTTCTAACTTTTGGTTTCTACGCGGCATCAAAAATCTCAGTTGATAAACTACACTCCACACTTGAGATGGGATGGGCACTTAAAACAACAAGGAGTAGAACCCAGTTTACAGAAGAACAAAGAAAGTTCCTCACAGAACAGTTTCTCATCGGGGAGGAGTGTGGTAAAAAGGCAGATCCACAACAGGTATCGCAAGAAATGCGAAGAGTGAGGGACGAAAAGGCTGCTCGTATTTTCAGTGGAAAGGATATTCTTTCGCCACAGCAGGTGGCAGGATTCTTCTCAAGACTGGCAGCAAGGATTCGAAAAACGTCAGCAACATCGAACGAAGAAAGTGGAAGTGAAGACGAAGAGCAGTGTGCAGTCGAGGCAGAGGCCTTACATTCGCACCTAAAGGAAGTTGTCAGCGAAGAAATTGCTTTACGTCACCCCATTGTCGCCCTTTCCCGTAACATTTGCAGTTTGGTTCATACAAAGAAATTATCTACCTTAACAGTTGCAGTGCTAAGGGACATTTGTGAAGATATTGGCTTAAACGTGGATGATATCACGGAGAAACGAAAAAAGCCACTTATAAGTCGTATTACGCAGGTCGTTAAGGAGTGCTCTTGTGCTCGAGTGTAATCGACTAGAACAATCGAGCTAAGAAATTGTAAGCTTGTATCCTGTTATAACACCAACCTCGTTCCCAGGGTTCTCTCCTACCGGGTAGGAGAGAACCCTGGGAACGAGGTTGTTATAATACGTGATTATAACTTAAGTTTTCAGGGACCACGGGTCAGGCAAAATGCAATGCCCTAATGCATCAATCAATTCCAGCTGCACCTAGTCCCCCCCCCCCTGAGGGCCACTGTGGGATATTTTCCCCCTTGTCGGTCCCGGGGGTAGGGCATTAGCAAATTTTGCCTTGCCCGGAGGTCGGCCATTGGCCAACCCCGGACCACCCAGGAGGTCAGCCCGCGGGGACTGTACGCAGCTGCAATTGATGCATAAGTTCACAGCTCAGATAAAGAGACTGTACTTTTAATGCCCACTCGTTTAACCGGAATTTCCTTGCTTCTGAACAATGAACAACAAGAAAAAATACAAGATAAGGCAAAGAATTGCGAACCAATTTTGTTTTTCAGCAGAGGCTTTGTACATATTAGCAGATTGCGTGGTTTTTGACCAGCCAAAAAAACTGATAGCAGCTCTGGTGACGAAAAAGAAGTTAGTTACCCTAACTTTTTCTTTTAACGAAGGATTGATATGTGAAAATCAGTAGATTTTCAAAGGCATGCATTTTCTCCGTCATTTCTAAAAAAATGATGGTATTAGTTTCGGTTTGATATTTCTAGATATATGTGTGATTATAGTTAAAGTTGAGATCATTTAATTTACCCACATAAATTTAATTTAAAAATTGCAGCCTCTGATTTAGACCGTTTTAGTGAAGGATTCACTTTGTTAAGTCAGGAAAGTTTCTTAAAATGCCGAAAAGGAGTTTGAGGAGAATTTCATTTCCGGTTCATTTGTCACACATATTGCGTGACAAATGGAATATTGTTATACGAGATGCGGGATGGAGAGTTAAAAGTGCCCATGGAATGAGACTTATCAAAACTAAAATTGAAACGGATGAGTATTGAAAGCTCAAGCGAAGGGTACACAAGTGAGACTCAGTGAAGCGCGTCAAAGTCCAAACGTTGCCCGAGTCACAGCACGGAGTCACTTTTAGTCTTTGCAGACTACGATTGTAGACAGTAATCGCCGAAGTATGGTGCGTTTCTTGCTGCTTTTTCTTGACATTGGACTTGATTACAGGTAAATTTGGTTGATCTTAAAGCTTATGGGAGATTCTTTAGTCAAAAGAAGTGAAAAAATATGTACCGTTCGATGCCGTAGCGGTGACTTCCGTTTCGCCTGTTTCGGTAATGTAAGACATTCCAAGATGGCGGAAGGCGGAATTGTGCTCACTTTAAGAAGTATTTGTCAAAAAAGTACGAAAGATCCCAAACATATAAGCTTGTAGATAGTTAAAACTATCCTTTTAAAGAATACCAAAAGGTTTTCTGGTGTGATTCGTTGCGTACCGCGGGCATTTCTGACATGTTGTTTTGACCAGCCATTGCACCAAATTCGAGAAGGATGTTGGTGTGCTTCTTTAAAAAATCATATATTTTTTGTGAGCAGCGTTAGCGAGCTGTTTTGGGAATCAGTGGACTGAAATAGCTTTAGATTAACTGGATATCCGTGAAGACACCTTAAAACAATCGACTAAATGACTCAATAACTTCGTGAAAGTTGGCAATTTTCAAGGTTATTACGACGAAAAATACCGTTTACAGTTAAAATCAAATTTCTTTGAAACGAAACAATATTTAGCCAAATAAACCTTGATTTCATATATATAGTACCTGGGCCTACCAATGTACAAAGTATAAGCGAAATCAAATTTTGAGCTATGTCCGCCCGATCTTTGATCCTTACTGACATCAACTCTTAACGTTTAAGTTACGAAAAAATCACTTAAGAAAATTACCCTTAGGTCTGGAAATACGTTCGTTCAGTTTAGAACTAGAAAACTTAGTATTTGCCTTAAGGTTTTCTTCGGTTTTTATATTTATTTAGAAAATAATTCATAGCGTTTTTTAGAGGAGCAATAAATGTGTATAAAAAGTGAAATTCTGGAACTTGTGTGGAAATAACCTTATTCACAAAACAACAGAACCCTGTTTAACACTACTCAGACCATGGAGGCTTTTAAGACCCACTGCCGTGCTTGAAGCTCTGCCCAGAGACATGACATTGTGACCGCAGTTAAATGCGCTAAGGAGTACCATTTCATGCAAACCTAGCTACCTCCCAAAAAGTTGAAATAGAGAGGTTTTTGAAGGATATACATTTAATGGACTGAAATTCAGGCCAAATTTGTTTGAATTTCTACTGTTTAATTGAAAATGGATTTTTGTATATTAAAAGTAAAGAACACTCAAGTGATTGTACAAGCGCATTAATGTTTGTCTTATCCATCCTAAGGCTATCCAGGAATATTATTGAATTACAAACAGTGTCATAAAAATGTTAAGGAATAGATTGCTATTGAGGGTAAACTATTGAGACTACGTGACGATATAAACATGCCCTGACCGCACAGTCTTGTCTAGGCTAAGAGTCCACATTCTAGGAGGTTATCTTCCTGCTCATCATCTTCCTCGGTCATGTACTTAGTCAGGCTTCGTGGCAGGTATTTGAAGGGAAATGGAGTATCATTAGGCCGAGAGCACATCACGTTCACGTGCCCCTTTATTCATAAAACCCTAAATTGACGTTGTTGCTGTACTTGTTTATGTTGAGAACAGAGCGTCTGCGAAGCCAGCAGCGTAGATCCTTGCGGTGACAAAGGAATCTGCATCCCCGATTATTCCAAGGACAGCTTTACATGCAAATGTGACAAAGGCTATGGAGGAAGACCATGCGGTAAGCTGCAAACGTTTCACCTCTAAGGATCTTCTCCAGGGGATGAAATGAGGCTTTAACTATACACGACTTTATGGATAGTCAGTCAAAAGTTACACTCAAGCTCATTGACCTTTTAATTACCCATTTCAGAATTAATAAAAGACTGCTTTAAACTTGGTCAAAGTGGTGCCACATCAAGTGGAGTCTACTACATCATCCCAGATGGTGGCAGTCCAATACAAGTACTCTGTGACATGACTACGGACGGTGGAGGTTGGACCGTCTTTCAGAGACGTTTAGATGGCTCGGTAGATTTTTATCGGGCTTGGGAATCATACAAAAATGGATTTGGAGATCTAAACAGTGAGTTCTGGCTTGGAAACGACAATCTACATCGTTTGACAGCCTCTGGTGACGTTATGCTAAGAGTTGACCTGGAGGACTTTGATGGCAACATAGCATACGCTGAGTATACAACATTTCAGGTAGCTGACGAAGCAGATAAATACAGGATTACGTTTGGAGGATACAATGGTACGGCTGGCAACTCAATGGTAGATAACGGAGGAGAGTCCCTAACGTAAGCAAAAAAATCGTTGGTAACTGATTGTAACAATCATATCAATCTATCACTCTCTTTTTACCCTTACCGACAGGCAATCCGTCGCCATCGCCGACCACCTCTCATACCATCTAGGTCGCAATCAAATCAGGTTCATTATTTAACAAGGAATGAATGAGGCTGAGTATCTTATGAAGAATTATAGAGGTCGAGGAGGGTGTTATCCGTGGAGGCCGTAGGCCGAGGCGGATAACGCCCTCCGAGATCTTCATAATTCTTCATATGATAAGAAAGCCGAATTCAATAATTGTTTTATCATTCATTCAAAATAATTCCTAGTTAAAAACATAGCTAAAATATGCTTACCTCCATCAATGTTAAGTTCATCTTCGATAGTGCACGTTTAGGGTTCTTCAGCTCCGCAAATATTCTCCAAATAGCAGATGTCGCCCTTCGAGTTGTCTTCTAGCAGTTCTTGCATTGTTTTTAGCCATTATTTCGCCTAGTTCTTACTATTGAAACGAGTAGAAATGTCCTCCATTTTTGTTTTCACAACCAAAACAACTCAACCTCGTCCTCAGGTCTTCTCGGTTAACGGTGCATTAACCTGCAAGGAAGCTGCTCTTTTGACGTCATCGGTTGATTAATCGCAAAATTCTTCCAAATTTAGTCATCAGTAGCTGGTTATAGTGAATTATTCGTATGCTTTTAGCCAATCAGAATCGGGGAAATATTTTGAATGAATAATAATAATCGATAGTCTCCAGATTTAATAGCCTCTTTATGGGCATCTTAGAAAAGTCGCATCTGCATTCTTAAACTATTTAACGTTCCTATACATACTATTAAAGCTGGCAAGTGTCCGCATATCTTTGCCACCAGCAAAAGTCTCAAATTACCGGTAGCACAATAATACAGATATTTATATCATTAGATCAAGGAGATCCTTTATGCACTCTCAGACAAATCAAGCAGAAATTATAGTTGAGCTGTTTCAAACGAGCATTTCGTTTTAGTCTTCATTTTTCTCAACACTTTTTTTCTTTCACAGTGGTCTACAGTTTTCGACTAAAGATGCTGACAATGATCTGGACAACATTGTATGGGGTCCTTGTGCTGTAAGGCACTATGGTGCATGGTGGTATTACTCTTGCAGCTGGGCAAATCTTAATGGTTTGTATCATGGAGGACCATACAGCACCAGTCGTATCGGTGATGGAGTAAAATGGGTCACGTTTAGAGGACAGCATTACTCACTAAAACGCACTGAGATGAAATTAAAACCTAAAACGTAAAATTAAACAACAGTGATACGCACCGCATCGCATCATTATTAAATGAGTCGCAATTTAAAAATTGCGATCATAGGTAGGCATTTGAAAGCGTTTGGTACCTGCACTCATAAAACTCCCGGGCCAAGAATGAGTCCAAGTATGACTTTTCTTGCGTTGGTTTTTGCATTTTATAGCCTGTGCCAGGCACTCACGCGGCTTTTTGCACTTTCTTCTCGACCCGTTCTCCCCACTATCTTAGACCTTGGAATGCTATTGAAGATTACTACTTTACACAAATAGAAATTATTCATGATAACCGCCATCTTTGCACGCGCTCAAGGGCTGATGGTATTAAAGCAATGTCACTTGGTTTCTCAGGGGGCAAACAAGTAAGAAAAAATTGCCAGTGGAAGAGATCGCGGTTGAGTTTGTTTATTCTAGACAACAGGAAATGAAGACCTTTTCATCTTAAAGACGATAATATAAAAAAATGGGTGGAAGTGATCATTGTTACTTTTTCGTATGCAGTAGTGACCGGAGATATCCTCATGGCAAACAGTAATGACGAAATCTTGCCAAAATTCGATATGAACATTTTGGAGGACTATCAAATCGTCGTCTCGTTTTGATAGAATTAATAAACTCGACCGCGATTACTCGGCGTATTTGCAAATTTTATCACTTGTTCCCCCCTGAAATACCACGTGACATAGCTTTTACCCCAATCGATCCTAGAGCGTATGCAAAGATGGCGGGCATCGTGAAGAAGGTCTATTGAATTCAGTCATCAAGTCACGTTATCGCTTGATTAGCAGACTGGTGAAAGGAGTTAGTCGTATACTGCTGGGATTTACAAGCTTTAATAGACGCCGGTGGTTAATTTCATATAACAGTGATATCATTATAACCTTCCAACCTGAGAGTTGAATTTAGTCATGATATTTTCAGGCATAATTTAAATGATAAAAAAATACGAAAAGTACATAAAAGGCAAGTCCGACTGATTATAATCCGGAATATGAATACTCACAATCTCTTTGACCGTAAATTTTCGACCACTGCTGAAATGCCAGTTTTATATAGTTTTTCCCATGCAATTTGCATTAAGCTCGGGTAACCAATTCGACAGGGACTAGCCCTGGCTCGCTATACAAAAGCGAACGCTCAGTACTGGTAGGTTTTAGCTGTATATTTCTCTTTTTCTCAATCTTCACAGATTCTTTACAGTTTTAAATTAAGCTTACAATTGTAATCTCTGGCGTCCTGCTTTTATAGAGAAACAGCTCAGTTCGCAGTTATGAGGTGCGAACTGTCACTACGATTCAGTTCCTGAATTTCGAGAAGACAGCTGCACCAGGATAATGTGTCACTGATAAGTTAGAGAATTTCATATTCTTTCAATACTAGAACTTGATGACTGTTTCTCATAAACACAACGCCATATTTTAAGGAAAAACTAAAAAGATCAGAATGGTAATAAAATCGTCATTTCAATTCTAATAGAAATATCTCAAAATTTAAACTGAATTCTTTCTTCCATTCATTCATTCATTCAGGCGGCTTCGGCCGAACTGCTGTAGTCGCTTGGCTGCCCAGCCCGCTCTGTTGTCCAAGCGGGATGAGAGTTCGCTGGTGGATACGACCCTAGCCTCCCTCATCAGGGTTTCTGTGAATGTGCACACTAGGCGACCGCGCGCATCGTAGGTGTTCGTGTGTTGCTTGCCACAGGACAAGCTGGCCTGCTGGCAATTCGGGGCTACGGTGGCAATGGTCAGCAAGACCAAGCCGATCCTGTCTGACAAAGTTGGAAAGTCGCCGTGAGGTCTGGGTTGGTGACTCGGTCTCGCCAACTGGTGTTTTGGACACCGTGGAGCATGGGGGTATATGATCCATTGGGGGACTTTTCCATAGTGATAGTAAGTGACCCCCCTTTACAGCCATAAAGCCAAACAGAGTCTATCGTCGCTTAAAAGAGTCGTATCTTAAGACCTCTAAAAAGACTGGATGTCCAGATACTCGACGTGTCGTTAATTGCCTACGTGTCGTTAATTGCCACGTTACATGTTAGTACCCTCGTCTTCCTATCACTGAGCACTAGTCCAATGTCACTACATTCAACTTCTACCAGATCAAATGAGGTTTGCGCTAGGGAAACGGTGTTTGATAGCAGAGTAATGTTGTACGTTTGCTCGAGGCCTACTCCCAGGCTAGCATACAGTATGTTGCCCAGTATCCGAACGGTACCAGTATCCGGACACTTGAAGCAAAAACTCAATTTTTGAGGCGCCCTTTTCAGTTCTCCGTAAACGAAGTATTTCGAATGAAAGCTAAACATTTCATCTTTAAGATGAAAGTGTTGGCGATTTGAAAGCTTGCGAAACAGTCGCAGAAGACGCCGTTCTGTTCAGTAGGGGAAGGAGAAGCCTTTAGTTACTGCTCCTTACGGGCCACTCTTCAAGATGTGCCTTAACTGCTACCCCTTTCAGCAGATTTCAATATTCACTTCTAGGAGTAAATAAATTAATTTTAGACACGGAAAAGGCGGCTTGAAGACAGCCAAATGAAATGCTATAAAAAAATCTTTAATGGTACAATTTTATTAAACGTAAAAATAAAACGATGAATAAAACAGTACAAAATAAAAAGAGAGGGTGATTACAAGACTTTTTCATTACAAGTCCAGTTAAAGAGGTGCAAGCGTCTTCTTAATATTAAGCAAAGGAAAAAGATTGATGATTATTGCAAGAAACAAAAGTTACCGAAAATATGCATCAAAAAGACTTCAAGTACAAAAAACGTTGTATGTACCAAACCGTCCAAGTCCGTCCTCTTACGGCAACATACTAAAAGAGTCTTGGAATAACTTCGCTCTTTAAGATAACCCCCGCAGAAAAAGGTACAATTTCTAATAAACACTAAAACATTATGCTATGTTCACCACTATATCGCATAGCTTTTCGTGCCAACACGAGCGACAAACTATCAGCTATGGTATCAATCACCTTTTCGGTATGTGACTCTCCATTTAAGAGATCGGCGCAGCCTCGCTCCGTTAGAGGAATTGCGCCGAAATCACCGTTCATATGTGTGAACAGAAAAGCTTACATTGTATGGTTTTTGTGTCGGGGCAAAAGCTACCCGGTAGACTAGTAATCAGTAAACTCAATATACCCTGTTTAAAAACAGGGTATATTGAGTTTACTGATTACTGACATAACACATTCTTGAAGCGATTCTAATTTACGGAATGAAAATTCATTTTATCTATAATTTTCCAACTTCTTTTACGTTTAAATTTGTGTTTTGGTGATTTCATTTGTCTTTAATTATGCAGCTCTAACAACTCTATAGCGATAGCGCTACATATTCATAAACGGGGCGATTTCTTGAAAACTTCAGCAATATGATGGTTTCAGTTAGGTCGCTTGAAACATTTCCACCCAGAGTTTTCCCATAAAACCAATATAAATTTTTGCTGGGTCCTTCCTTTTGTTCAGCTTGAACTTGTCCAAGGCAAAGCACGATCCAAACGTTTCCCGCAGTCCCTACATTAGTTTCTGAGATCATAAACGTTTGGATAAATGGTTCATTTGTCTAACGAATACTTACTATTTATGGCCTTGGTCACCGGTTAATAAGGCTGTTTTTACACAATATCGTTCTAGCCTCCAGCACAACGAAAAGGTGCTGAGCACCAGTAAAATTGATCACTTTCCAAGGACGAATTAATATATCTTAAAACACCTGCTATATCGTAAGCTCAAAGTCCAGTTGAAAATGCTGCTGCTATGGCTTGTACTCGTTTTTTCTGAACATGTTTCCAGCTTAAGCCGAATCTCAGAACCTCGTTTTAAAGCTGTTAACTTTGCTGAGGAGAAAAAAGGAAGGCTGTTGAATGGAAGCGTGATAAAAGAAATGCAAGTTGATGCAGAGGGTGAGTGTAGGCTTTGATGTGTCGATGAAGAGCAATGCCGCTCGTATAACTTTGGACTCAAGAAGCATAAAGCCGGGAATTTCTTGTGTCAGTTAAATGGTTCTGATAAATCTGTTGGCTTTGGTAACTTCACAAAAGATGACAATTTCAAGTACAGAGGAATGGAGGTAATAAAGGTAAAAGAGGAATGGTCATCAGTAAAGGCCCGGGGGGGTACTCCCTATAATGGCCAATATGGGAAGGCTCCGCCAGAAAGGGGTACCTTTTTCAGGCTTCAAGGGAAATCTGTCATTTGGGTCTGTGAAAGGACCCAAAGGGCTAACAGATGAATTGTATGGCTTTATGAAGTCGAGAAAACGTTCTATTTTTGTGATTGATTCCTATTTTTATAGACGACAGTGCATTTACAGCAGTTAAAAGGGATCAGCAAAGTTCTAAACAAGGTATATGAAAGGGGTACCATTTGTTAATAGAAGGTATACGAAAGGGATACCTTTTTCGTGAAAAATGGTACATAAAAGAGTACGGGGCTGGACCTCGGGGCGGAGACTCCCCGTATAAATATTTGTTGAGTACCCTCCCCCCCCCCGGAGTAAAGGATTGCCTCTTCGGAGAGTTTCAATTGTCGCAGCATATCCCACAGTGCCGAATGCAAATGAGCTCGAACAAAGGATTTTCTTTCCTCATAAGCATTAAAATCGGCACATGTAAAATGCGACGTTTGAACTTGACCTGAAGGAAAAAATAACTACACCAACTACACTAACTACATTAACTACAGCAACTACAGCAACTACAGCAACTACACCAACTACAGTTACTACACCAACTACAGCAACTACAGCAACTACAGCAACTACACTAACTACACCAACTACATTAACTACAGCAACTACACCAACTACAGCTACTACAGCAACTACAGCAACTACACTAACTACACCAACTACAGCTACTACACTAACTACAGCTACTACACCAACTACACCAACTACAGCAACTACAGCAACTACACCAACTACACCAACTACACCAACTACATTAACTACACCAACTACACCAACTACAGCTACTACACCAACTACAGCTACTACACCAACTACACTAACTACACCAACTACAGCTACTACACTAACTACAGCTACTACACCAACTACACCAACTACTGCAACTACAGCTACTACACCAACTACTGCTACTACACCAACTACAGCTAGTACACCAACTACACTAACTACACCAACTACAGCTACTACACCAACTACAGTTACTACACCAACTACAACTACTACACCAACTACTGCTACTACACCAACTACAGCTAGTACACCAACTACAGTAACTACAGCAATTACATCAACATTCTCACTGTGGGCTTAGTGGTCACTTAATGTCTCTATATTCGTGACGGTTATCATGAACCCATTACCCTTTGACGGCAACATAACATACGCAGAGTATACAACATTTCAAGTAGCTGACGAAGCAGATAAATACAGGATTACGATTGGAGGATACAATGGTATGGCTGGTGACTCGATGGTAGACAACGGCAGAGGGGCCACCCTGAGGTAAACAAATAGCTGGTTTATTTGTAAGGAGGAAAACACCTTGGCCAATTTCATAGTCAGAGGCCAATTTTATAATCAACCATCTTTTATATATCCTTTTCTTTACAACCAAGTTATTTCAAAAGTAGGTTGAGTTTGATCGTCCAGGTGAAAGTAGTCTTGAATAGGACTGTTGCTGTTGATAGTGACTGACGTTTCGACAACCTGTGCGGTAGTCATCTTCAGAGTCAAAGTGAGTTGTATCACGTCAGTTGATGGTATTATACTCTGGTTATTGGTCTGATTGGTCAATTACGTTGCGATGTTATTGGTCGTCTGTCAGTTAAGCCGTGATGTTATTGGCTACGAATACTCGTAATCAGTAATTGGTTCTCTCGTACAGAACGACTGGAGAACTGACAATTTGACTAACAATAGACGACTGTTTAACTGTGACAATAGACGGATCGAAACGCACCAGTTACTAATTACGAGTCCTTCATAGCCAATAACATCACAGCTTAACTGACACACGACCAATAACATCTCTGATCTTTTTCGATTCTTTCTACTCTCACGATAATCAATCCCCATCGAAGACCACCTCTTTTAATTCAAATCATATTTAATGTGAGAAGACAACAACAAGATATTCATTGTCGTAATGTTACTTAATTAACATTTCTTGGCACGCAGTTAGCCAAACCCTAGTCGCGACGTGCTAACCTTTTCAAAATATCTTATGGTGAGTTGCCACGTGTTTACATATCTATGCTACCAGTAAAATGGCGATGTAAAGTAGCAAATTGATATGGCAATGCAAAGAAACGTTTGGACAAAATATGACTTTTCAGAAAGACCTTTAATACTTTGTTTGAACGCTGAGCTTCTTGAGGGCCTGATCTCAGGCTAAAGTGCTTACAAACAAATCAAACACGAAAATACTAATACTCCTTCCAGCTTGAAACATAGTTTGTCTGTGGTACTCATTTAAGCAGGCACGTCATTGCTCTTTCTCTACAGTGGTCGACAGTTTTCAACAAAAGATGCTGACAATGATGTGGACCGCGCTGTGACACCCTGTGCTGTAAGACACCACGGTGCATGGTGGTATCATTCATGCAGCTGGGCAAATCTTAATGGTTTGTATCATGGAGGACCTTACAGCACCAGTCGTATCAGTGATGGAGTAAAATGGACCACATTTAGAGGAATGCGTTACTCACTACAACGCACTGAGATGAAGTTAAAGCCAAAACCGTGAAAAAAAAAAGTGACATTGCAACAATTTAACTGTGGCATCATTTAAGCTTCGGTCATATAGTCACGTCATCGCTGGGCTAAAAAAGCAGATGAAAAAAATGGTAAAGAGCCCAACGAGGCATGGGGCTTATGTCAACAACCCTAGATACAATTTGGTGATACAAAATGTGAAAATTTTCAGCACAAGCACAACATAGCCAGACACCAGCACTCGCCGCAACCTGCCCTGCTAATGTTTTACATGACGTCAATGATGATATAATTTTCAATATATAATCATTTAGGTATTAAATGTACCAAGGTCGCTCATTATGACTGTTGGGGACTTTAAGAGTCCAACGACGCGAAGGCAACGAGAACTTCGCTTTAAAAAAGAATTTGCGTTCTTTAAGTCTAATTATTCCTACCCACTTACTTTGTCAAGTGTAGGCTAATTCTCCTGGAGTTGAATTCCTAGGGACCTTATCCAAAGGTTCAGGAAATGAAATAAAATTTCGTCGTTGCTTGTTTAATCACTCCAAAACATGCGAAATTAGGCATTTTCAAGTCGTAGTCGTGCAAAAACAGGCAAAGAAATGTACAAACAAGCTAGATGCACGTGCAAACTTGTTGTTTTGACCTACTGTTTTTTGACGTCCTCGTCAGCCGTCCGCGTCGTTGGATCTTAAAGTCCCTATTATTTCAGAGAAACTTTATGTAATTTCAACGAATCCTGAAAAGGAGTCAACATGAGTTGAGAAAAGATGCGGAACGCGGCAAGATATTAAAATTGGGGATTAAAAGTGTACACTGCCACGGGAAAAATTAAACAAAATGAACTGGACTGTCGTGACACAGCTCCTTTAACATATCTTTTATTTAAAGAAACTTATGGAAATGATGTGTATAAACTTATTAAATCTTTAAACTCAAGCACAGGATGTGACCTTGATGGAATCTCCCGTAAACTGTTATAAGAAGCGGCACCTGAATAGTAATACCATCCGTAACGTTTATCATTGATTTGTCAATAAAGAGTGGAATATTTCCTGGTGACTGGACAATTTCAAAAGTATCCCTGATTTATAAGAAAGACATTAAGTTTGATCCAAACAATTACAGACCTATCTCTGTCTTGTTAGGTATACTAACGACTGGTATCTAAATATTGACAATACGATACTAAATGATATACTTTTTCTAGAGCTGAAGAAAGCTTTCGACACTGTCGACCATCAAATCTTACTTCAAGAGTGTAAATTATATGGAGTAGACACTCGTACTATTTCCTGGCTTACCTCTTTTCTTTCGGATCGCAAAAGCTGTACCTATGTAGGCGGTTCTCTTTCGAAGAAACTGCCAATTGTCTTTGCACTGTAATTTTCAGGGAGTTATAATAACTCCTCTAGTGGGGCTAATTTAACTCCTTGCAGTGGAGTTATTTTTCGTGGAGTTACTTTAACTCCAAAAAGGAGTTTAAAGAACTCTTTTTCAGGAGTAAAAGTGACCCCAGATATTGAGGAGTTAAAATAACCCCCAAAAAGGAGTTATCCTGTACCTAAAATTTTTACTCCACTTTCAGAGTTAAATTAACTCCAAAAAGAGTAAAAACAACCCATGTAAGGAGTACAAATAACCCCATTTCGGAGTAATTTTAACTCCAGACTGGGAGTAAAAAGAACTCTTTTTCAGGAGTAAAAATGACCCCAAATTCGGAGTTAAATTAGGAGTTAAAATAACCCCAAAAAAGGGGTTATCCTGTACCTAAAATTTTTACTCCATTTTTGGAGCTATAATAACTCCCTAAAAATTACGGTGTGGAGTGCCTTATGGGTTAGCCTCCCACGCAGACGTTCTTAGGAGTTTGTCACGCGTTCCTGCCCCACACGTGGGGCAGGAAAGCGTGACGAACCCCTAAGAACGTTTGTGTGTGAGGCTACTTAAGGGTCTGTGCTCGGACCCCCGCTTTTCTTTTTCTACATCAGCGATCTCCAAGCGGGAATTGGGTAAGTGATATATGAGACAGGACTTACTCAGAAGAGGAGCTTTTTCAAGTATAAATGGTACGTGGTGCAGCTAAATGACGAGACAACTGACGTATTTTGAATCAATCCGTGAAGCAGTTTATGCAAAGGAAAATACACCAGCTTTATGAACGGGATGAACAAAATTGTTCCAAACAAATGGGTTGCTTACTAATAGGGCCACCCTCCGCGAGATTCTGATAAAAATTTTGAATTACACAGGTTCTGTTAGAAAAATGGCCGGGTGGGTTTTACTTGTTTTTGCCGCAACTGTTTATGGAATAAGCCGTATCTCAGAGCCTGATTTTAAGGCCGTTAACTTCGCTAAAGCAAGAGAAGGAAGGCAGTTAAACGGTAGCGTGATCAAAGCAATGAATGTGGATTCAGAAGGCGCGTGTAGGCTTCAATGCGTCAATGAAGAGCGATGCCGCTCTTACAACTTTGGAATCACAAAGAACAAACCCGGGAAGTTCCTGTGCCAGTTGACTGACTCTGATAGATTTGCTGGGTTCATTAATTTTAAAGAAGATGATAATTTCAAGTACAAAGGGATACAGGTAACTGCCACTGAACGCAGAAATGAAAATAGTTACAATATAGGACGTAAATGCTACACACGGACAGCTTTCCTCTTGTTTCTAACCAGTGTGTCTTGGCTAGTTTTGGATCAAAACAGGCATTTGGTACTGGGCATTATCTCGAGACTTAAAAAGCGTTGAAAAAAAGTTCGTGTTTGCTAGTACTAAATATGATTAAGGCACAACGTAACTTAGCGCCATGAAAAGTTATTACAATATGCTGGTAGACTAACAAATCGTTTATGAAATTAATAAGAATGTTTTATAGTTTGAGGTAGTTGCGATTTCTCTGTGAGCTAAAGTGGTACACCGTTGCGACCAGTACAGTAATCAGAGTTCTTCTCACGAAACGGGATTTTTTTGGCACGCAAGAAAACTGACATTCTCAGTGTTCATATATATCAATTATGCATGACATGTCGAGAAACTAGCGAGCTCTCCTTTCTGTTTCACGAATAAATTTGAAGTTTCAATAATAACGAAATGAATTTCATGTACAAGCAATGTAAACATTGTTTTCCAAGAAATTCTACAACTCGTTCAGAGATGCGATAACACCACACTTACCTTCTTTTATTTTCTCATATTTAATTTTTGCTTCCTCTATTGTATCTATTCCGTTTTCTTTTATTCAATATTTCCCAATCAATTATTCAAAACTTTTCAATCGCAAACCAAGTGTCCGGCAGTTTGGCATTTCGCGAGTCAGCTTTACAATTAACCTAAAAATAATTATAGTAATTATTGGATTCGGCTTTGGTATGATCTGAAAATCTAGGAGGCTATTATTCATTCCGAAATTCTTAACATGTTTACCTCGATCAGTATTAAGTTAATTTGCTTGGTTCCCGTCTTCATTAATATCGGATACTATGCAAATATAGGATAGAAAGGGATGTTTAGTCTAGCAGATATATTGAGATCAACTAACAAATTTTATCAAGACATTCGATGCAAATTTTTCTTCCTTTTCATTAGCCGAGAGCCCACCACGTAACCTGCAAATAACTGCCTACAAATAATCGTCTGCTCATGCATAATGTCGTCCAACAGTGTTTACATGAAAATATTATTCCACTCGTACGAAAATGAAACCACGCTTTTCTCCCCCTTGCGATCCCGCTTGCGTGAAAATGGCAGATCGTTTCGCTTATCCGAAGATATTCATTAAAAAACAAACTTGTTGATCGAATGACGAAACCATTATCCGTTAAGTTGTATTCTTGCTCATGTCTAGCTGTGTTTTTAGGTAAAAAAATCGGTTTTTTTCTTCTTCCAAAATCTTGTAAAATTTCCACCATTTTCCCCAGCTACAGCCAAAACAACTAAGCTAACGGAACCTCGATCCCTTGGGCTTCTCGGTTGGCGTGAAATATTCTATATTAGTATTTCCCGAATCAGTGAATAGCAATTTTCGCGCGTTTTGATTGGCTCCCGTAACTTGGAATATCCTTACCTCTACCTTTAGTTATTTTCCTTGCTTTTAAAACAGAGTATCTGCGAGTCTAGCAACGTGGACCTTTGCGGCAACAAAGGAATCTGCATCCCAGACTACTCCAAAGACAGCTTTACATGTAAATGTGACAAAGGCTACGCAGGAACACAGTGCGGTAAGTTACAAACGTCCCATCCCCTAGGTCTCTCCCACCTTGGGGCTTTGGAGAGGTAGGATTCTAATCATTTGTGCATAAAATGTGACTTGAAGTTGTTTATTTATCTGTTAGCATATGAGTTCCGAAGTAGTCTTTTTACTCGTTCTTATTTTGAGTCCAAAGTCAGGGAGAGAAAAGCTTTCTCGTAGTCCAAAGAATATTTAGTAATTATTGAATTCGGCTTTCGTAGGATATGAAGAATTATGCAGATCGAGGAGGGTGTTATCCACCGAGGCCGAAGCTGGATAACACCCTCCGAGATCTGGATAATTCTTCATAATCCTACAAAAGCCGAATTCAATAATTGCTTTGCTTTTCATTCAAAATAATTCCAAGTTTGAAAGTAAGCTAAAATATGCTTACCTCCGTGGATAGTGCATCTTTATCGGGAAGTTCAGGTCTGCAAATATACAGTCGACCCCCGATAATTGGAACCTTCAAAGGAAATCGAAAAAAAGGTACGAGTTATCGGGAGTTCAAAGAAAATAGCCGAGATTATGGTAAAAACAGTTTTTACTGCACAGTGAACATTTTAATCACATTTAGTTGTAGAAATGTCAAGTGAAAATTAAAAGATACTTTTAGATTATAAATCAGAACGTAATGTAACAAAACATAGCCTAAATAGAGCATGCGTTTTACTGTTATGAGAAGAAAAGCTGCTTCACGTTAGCCTGTGACAATCAACATTAGCCTCCGCTAGTAAACTATACTTCTACAACACGTCAATGGGAAACTAGTCCAAAATTCAATGTTTCGGAAGCCAGTCAAAACATGGCTCGAGTTATCGAGGGTAAAATTATGTAGAAAAAAACTTGAGGGGAAACGAAAATTGGTTCTAGTTAGCGGGAGTTCGAGTTATCGAGGGTTCGAGTTACCGAGGATAAAATTACAGTGAATGTATGACGGAAATCCAGGGGAAATCGATTTTGGTTCAAGTTAGCAGGAGGTTCGAGTTATCGGGAGTCGACTGTACTCCAATTAGCAGATGTCGTTCGTCGAGTTGTTTTCTTGCTGTTCTTGCTTTATTTTTAAACACCGTGAAACGACTAAAATGTTCCACCATTACTCACTTCGAAAACAACTCAAACTAGTTTCAATAATCTGCAACTTTGTTGCACTTTTGATGTCATCGGTTCAATATGGCAAAATTCTTCCAAATTTGGTCAACAGTAGCTGGTTATGATGAATTATACGTGTGATTTTATTTTGAAGGAATAATAACTTTATATGTGGGTATTGAGATTAAACATAAGTATTTTTGCATAGCCTAATATACAGCCAACTCTCTCTAAGATAGACAGTCAGGGCCGGTCCCGAATGTGTCCGTCTTAGAGGAGGGGGGGGGGGTGTCGTGACACCAGTAATTTTAACGCTGAAACTATCCACAATAAATACACGTCTGTTTAACTTGCACAAAACAGCTGCAACTGGAACTTTGCAACAAAAGTGGAATAGAGAAAAGAAGTGTGACGTCACGTTACCATGGTATCAGAATTTCTGGATCAGAGCATTAGGGAGCTTAACCAACGAGGATGGCGAAGGGAACGAGAACTCTGCACGTGCATCATGCTCGAGTACATTTCTTAGCCGTCGTTGCACGTGACTGCGACACGAAACTTCCTAATTTCACACAACACAAAAATTTCGGATTCAATCCCAAAAAATTTCACCAACATTCAACAAATTAAATGAAATTGAAGAAGATCGATGAAGTTTGAAACAGTGCGAATTCACTTTTTAAGAGACTTTTTCGGTTTCTTGTCATCCAGAAAATTTGTTACCATGGCAACGTGACGTAACGACTTCTTCTCTCTATTATTTTCTCAGTGAGCAATCACACGTTCACCACAAGCAAACTTTCACGGCTTCGTGGTCTAAAAGCATAACACTAAACACTCCGCTAACTGGGGCAAAACTACTAAATATCAAACAATTTGCAATTTACTATCATGTATAGCACCTTCACTTCCGTTTTGAGGTATTTTTCACTATATAAGCACTTCCCAATTGTCCGTTGACGGTTTCAAAAGTGTCCGTTGTCCGTCTTAGAGAGATGTCCGTCTTATAAAGTTGTCCGTTAACAGAGAGTTTACTATAAACCGAGAGGGTGAAGGAAGAATTCGGGACAGTACTAGAGGGCTTAAGGCGGCTCGGATATCACAAATTTTGTACCATAATCTTTTTTCTGCTTTAACGCAAAGGCTACGAAAGTTTGAAAAGTCCGAATATACAATGATTTTTGAAAGGGTGTAGAACCTGTTTGACGATGTGTCATCTTGACGCGCACATATCATATAGTTTACGACTCTTATTTCAACTCATTTTAATTAAATATTTTCCAAAAAATGACATTTGTCACAGATTTTCTGGAAAAAAGTTCACACCAAAACTCTTTTACCTCTCTTACATTTCAGAATTAATCATAAAAGACTGCTCTAAACTTGGTCAAAGTGGTTTGGCATCTACTGGAATCTACTACATCAACCCAGATGGTGGCAGCCCAATACAAGTACTCTGTGACATGACTGCAAACGGTAGAGGTTGGACCGTCTTTCAGAGGCGTTTAAACGGTTCGGTTGATTTTTTTCAGGGCTGGGAATCATACAAAAACGGGTTTGGAGATCTAAACGGTGAGTTCTGGCTTGGAAACGACAATCTTCATCGTTTGACAGCCTTTGGTGACGTCATGCTAAGAGTTGACCTGGAGGACTTTGATGGCAACATAACATACGCAGAGTATACAACATTTCAAGTAGCTGACGAAGCAGATAAATACAGGATTACGATTGGAGGATACAATGGTACGGCTGGTGACTCGATGGTAGATAACGGAGGGCAGACCCAAAGGTAAGCAAATATTTCGCTGGTAATTAATTTGTAACAACAGAAAAAGAAAAGGTCAATACCGCGTTTATAAGCTCCCCCACTTTATCATGAGCCACCTCCAGTTATAAACCCATCTATAGACCCGTAAACCAAAAAAATACATCCCATTACAAGCCTCGGGATATAAGGCCTGTTTCAAACGTCGTGCTACTGCCGTGCTAAGCTGATTCGACTGTAGCTCGACTGTAGCACGACACTAGCACGACTTGGTTTCAGACGTCGAATTTAATTCAGAAGAATAGACCGGCTATTGCCTAAAACAAAACACAAAAATAAAGAAACGATTTAGCAAACTTTTAAATGTATTCTAATGTATTTATGATTTATGAATTGAGTTTGGCATGGCAGTAGCGCGACCTTTGAAACCAAGTGGAGCTACTGCCGTGTAGCACGGCAACGCTTGCCATTCTACACGGCATTGGCACGACTTGGTTTCAAGCGTCGCGCTACTACTGTGCTTAAGTCGATTTTAATTCGATCAGTTTAGTTCGGCACGGCAGTAGCACGACATTTGAAACGGGCCTAAGCCCCTTACAAATCTATTGAATTCGATTTATTATCAATGACATTTTAAAGCTTAATTAAAAACCAGTATACGCAAAACGCAAAAGGACTGCCATATCTTGTTTCAAAGCGCTGTTTCTATTTCGGTGATACAACACCTCGGATATAGCCCCTCCGTTTATAAGCCCTTCTAAATCCCTTACGAAGATGTTTAGGCCCAGGGATAAGAGGCAGTTAAAGGCCGTTCTATCAAATCAGCAGTCTTTCATATACTTTCTTTAAAGCCCACCTTACAATGCTGTTACAAGTCTTTTTACCCTTAAAATAAGTCCACCTCATAGATAGATACCTTGTCTCTGATATTCAAACTAATTTATTAATTTGTAGGGTCAAGTAGACTCGTAATCGACCACAGCCACATGATAAGTGGCATCTGTATCTGAACTGTAGGTGTAGCAGTGAGCTGTAATGCACAAAGCCTTTACCTTCGGAAGCATGATACGTATTACTCGAATCACCTCATGTTGGGCTGGGAAGTTTTGCTTGCGGAATCTGGAATTAGTAGGATTTCGCTTGCGGAATATGGAATCCTGGTTTTTAGAATCCGGAATGCAGCACAAGAAATCTGGAATTTCAGAATCTAAGACTAGCTTGGATTCCCTTGTATGGGTTGACTCGTAAATCCTAAATCAAAATCCACCTTGAAATCCACCTCGAAATCCATCTCGAAATCCTAACGTGGTAAATAGATAACCTCCTGACAAACAAATCTCTTTGTAAAATTTGTGCCACTATCAAACTGTGATCTTTTTCTGCAGTAACTTGCAGTTTTCAACCAAAGATGTCGACAATGATCTGTATGACCCTAACAATTGCGCTGTTTTACTCAGTGGAGCATGGTGGTACCATTCCTGCAGTTGGGCCAATCTAAATGGTTTGTATCGTCGAGGATCTTACAACACCAGCTACTTGGCCCACGGAGTAAAATGGGTCACGTTTAGAGGACAGTATTATTCTTTGAAACGCACTGAGATGAAATTAAAGCCTAAACCATAAACAGCAATGGTATTACCGCATTATGATGACCTATGATTTGCGTCGCATCATTTAAGTTGGTAGACATTTGACATCACTTGCTACCTAATCTTATGAAATTTCTAATCTAAGATTGAGTGCAAGCAAGTACGACTTTGTAAGTATAGTAACGGCTTCAGACTACAACCCAGACAATCAGAGCGAACTCAGTTATTGAGTGTCGTCATTGCTTGGAGAGCCTTAACTCTGGCAGTTCATCTTGTATTCGACAATTGGAAACGAGAAAGTAACTGGAACCGAAATGTGTCCAGCACTTTTTTGTGGGATCGTTACCGCGCTGGACAGCAATTGGACAATATTTTTCCCTGTCACAGAAGTCTTTTCAAATAATAACTCAAAGCATTTGTACTTAATGGATTTAAGCGGCTCTTACAATTTATGCGTTTAACTCATTGCCGAAGCAAAAAGTCAAGATGGCTGAAATTGGCCAGGTTGGTTTTTTTCGTTTTCATATAAGCTAGGACAAAGACAAGTTTCACAGGAACAGAGCAAAAAAATGTAGTAGAAGAGGAAGGATCCCAAACTTTTTGCCATCGCGACTGAACAAACCTGGTCATAATATGGCCAAAGCAAAGTATTTTGCTGTGGAACAAAGCGAAGCAGTCTCGAGTAGCAAAATAGGCCCTAAATTCTCGCTTGGGTAGACAATCCGAAAACAGGATTCCACTCGCAGGTCATTTTGACAGCCCACTTCAGGTTAATTCTGAACCTGAAATTTTTAATTGATAAAGTGACAATTCGAATACGATTGGTTTTATCATATGACACCTGTTAAGATGTATGTTTACAAGTGCTCATTGCAGATCAACTGATGTTTGCAAGCGAATTGATCTTTTGCCTTGCAATAAATAAAGGATGTATGCAAGTGATTATCTTCAATTTCCAAAAGACTGTGAGAACTCCCATTTTAGTCAGTGCAGGCTTTGCAGGACTGGCTAAATACCAAACCCCCATTCCCCCACCCCCGCCCCCCTCCGCCCAATTCCCGTTTTCCTCCCTTGCCAGCCACTATGGCCTTCGTTCAACGTATTAATACAAATTCTAAGTAACATGACTCGCAGGCTTAAGGGTGAAAATTGCAATTTTTTCACGACTCCGTTGTCTCCCAATTCCCAGAAGAGACTTGAGCACGAAGAAAACCAAACCAAACATAGAAAAATGACCAGAAAGCCTCGGATTCATGGTAGAATTTTAATATATCGAAGGTGCCCGATGGCACAAAATGGGCTTACCTCTTATTTGTGTTAACCTAATAAAGTTTTAGGATTATTACGCGCGAAGATGAATATTTCTTGCTCTTTCAAAACTTAGGGGCGAGATCACTTTTCTGTATATAAGGGGGTCTTAAAATAACTTACTTATGTTCACTGAAAGTTTAAATTAAGCCGGTAGGTAGCCTGCGTCGAAGACGTACTTTAACATCGGTTAGTGACGTCTGCGAAGCATCGCCGAGATATATCCTCGTTGTAGGCCCCCAACGGACTCAACGAATTACCGGAGGTGGGTTTGGAATTTCCTTTATTACTGATTGGCAAATTAACGACGTCTTTTTTCACAGGACAATCATTGCGCGTATTCAAATCTTGGTACACAGTTGGAGCCCAGAACAAGGATTTAGGCGCTGTTTTGTAGACCGACTTAACCAGAGTTAAGTTTCGTCTGTGGCGCAGGCTAGCTGGTACGTAGATTACCAGATTTATGTTTAAAATCGCATCCTGGCCACAGTTGTGAGTGCAAAATGTCTTGGGCAGTTTTCTTGCGAAGAATATTAATTCACTAAAGGGGTGACTCTGAAGAAACAAGCTGGTCAAATTTAATTGATCTTTAGATATGGGGACGATATCGTTCTTGTAGCAACCAGAAACCAGGCTCCAGAGGGAAACAACACAACGAAAAGATACTGGGAACCAGTATAACTGATCATCTTTAAACGAAAACTTAATAGTTATATATTAAAACACCTGTTATACCGTTAAAGTGATCTGTGAAAAAATGTTACTGTGCCTTGTACTCGTCTTTGCCGAAACTGCATCGGGCTTAAGCCGTATTTCAGGATCTCGTTTTCAAGCTGTTAACTTTGCTAAGGCGAAAGAAGGACGAAAGTTGAATGGAAGCGTGATAAAAGAAATGCAAGTTGATACAGAGGGTGCGTGTAGGCTTCAATGTGTCAATGACGAGCAATGCCGCTCTTACAACTTTGGACTCAAGAAGCATAAAGCTGGGAATTTCCTGTGTCAGTTAAATGGTTGCCATAGATTTGTTGGTTTTGGTAACTTCACAAAAGATGACAATTTCAAGTACAGAGGAATAGAGGTAATTAACCATCAAAAGAGAAATACTTAGTTAAGGTGTTTCGATATAGTTTTTCAGAAGCCATACAGATATTTTTCAATCGCTTTAAAAGTGATTTTATCCTTGTCTGATAGCTATAAAAGTTTCACCAATGATTGACTATAGATTGAAATTTGTCAAAATGTAGGTTTTAGTAAAATCGATATTACTATGACAACAATAAACAAAAAACTTTGAAACTGATAAACGCCTAATTTTGGGCGATCTAGACCAGCTACTGAAAATCCAACACTAGGAACTTAAAGTTTAGAATTAGCAAATAACCTCCGTAAGAAGAAAAAAAATTCGGTATGTCTGAATTCGACTAAAACGAAACTATATTTCAAACCTTAAATTGTCAATAGCCGTGATAAATTATTTAATAAAACGTTATAAATGACACAAATTAAATTGCATTCTTAAGTAGCGTCAGAATGCTGCTTAATATCATATTTTGATGCTCGGAAATTTTAGCGTACTTTCGTTCTTGCGATCACTTAAAAACTAACCCGTTTTCTCACCACCTGTCTAAGTGCAGCTCCATTCAAAATTTGGACTTTTAGCGCTTTTTTGTATATCTCTGAAACGACTCGAACTAATTTTTTTAAAATTTCTTCACATAATCTTCATTATTATATGGCTGAGTCTGTTTCCGCCATGCGATTGGTCAATTTGGGGTCTGTAACTTGCTATACGGACCAAAATTTTTAAAGAAAATGCTCATTTCGGACCTCTAAATCTCTTTACCTCGGAAAAAAGATTTAAATAAAGTTATAAGACGCCTGTCAACCTTGAAAAATTGGATGTTGACTTTGGCCTTCAACATTTTAAACTGTGTTTATTTGTGAACGATGGCGATGAAGAAACAGAAACTCATAAAGGGTTGAACAACCCCTTATGAGTTTCTGGAAAAAACTAACTCGTAATCTTATCGACGAAGATTCTAGTCAGTGTTTGAAGATTTTATCGTAGTACACAGTTAAGAAGACGAAAATCGACTGGCAGAGATTCGAGATGTTTTGCCTAAGATAAAATGAGTAATTCATTCAACAAATATGATAACAAACATACCTGCACCGATCATCTTGAGAAGCTTCTTTGCCATTTTATTTTCAAAAAATTAGTTCGAGTCGTTTCAGAGATATGTAAAAAAGCGCTGAAAGTCCAAATTTTGAATGAAGTTGCACCTAGACAGGTGGTGAGAAAACGGGTTGGTTTTTAAGATCGCTAGAACAAAAATACACCAAAATTTCCGAGCATCGAAATATGATATTAAACAACATTCTCACGCTACTTAAGAGTAATTTGAGTCATTTATAACGTTTTATTAAATAATTTATCACGGCTATTGACAATTTAAGGTCTGAAATATATTTTCGTTTTAATCGAATTCAAACATGCAGAATTTTTTACTTCTTACGGAGGTTATTTGCTAATTACCAAACTTTAAGTTCCTAGTGTTGGGTTTTCAGTAGCTGGTCTAGATCACACAAATTTCGGCTTTATTAGTTTCAAAGTTTTTGTTTATTGTTGTCATAGTAATATCGATTTTACTTAAATCTACGTTTTCACAAATTTCAATCCATAGCCAATTACTGCTGAAAATTTTATAGCTATCAGACAAGGATAAAATCACTTTAAAGGCGATTGAAAAATATCGGTATGGTCTCTGAAAACCTGTATCGAAACACCTTAACAATGGCAACATGTACAATTTTTTTGCTAGTTAAAAATATTTTTTTGTCAGAGTGTCTGCTAGTCTGAAAGCTTTTTAATATTCAAAACTTTGACCGGTTTCAAACTTTCTTTGCAACAACTTCCAACAACGCGCAACAACATTCAACAGAGTGTGCAGACGGACGCAACATATAACATCCAACATTGTTGGGAGTTGTTGGCCAACAATGTTGTGTCCGCTTGCACGGGGCTTTAGTTATTTTCCTTGCCTTTAAAACAGAGTGTCTGCGAGTCTAGCAAAGTGGACCTTTGCGGCGACAAAGGAATCTGCATCCCAGACTACTCCAAAGACAGCTTTACATGTAAATGTGACAAAGGCTACACAGGAACACGGTGCGGTAAGTAACAAACGTCCCATCCCCTGGGTCTCTTCCACCTTGGTGGTTTGAAGACGTAAGATTCTAATCATTTGTGCATAAAATGTGACTTGAAGTTGTTTATTTATCTGTTAGAATCTTATTATTCCGAAGTAGTCTTTTACTCGTTTTTATATTAAGTCCAAAGTTAGGGAGAGAAAAGCTTTCTCGTAGTCCAAAGAATGTTTAGCAATTATTAAACTGGGCATGGTAGGATATGAAGAACTATGCAGATCGAGGATTCAAAATAATTCCAAGTTAAGAAACAAGTTAAAACATGCTTATCTCCGTCGATGTTACGTTTATATCGATAATGCATCTTTATCGCGAAGTTTTGGAGATAAGGGCTGTTCAGGTCTGCAAATATACTCCAAATAGCAGATGTCGTCCTTCGAGTTGTTTCCTTACTGTTCTTACTATGTTTTTAGACAACAGTTCGCCGTGAAACGAGTAAAATGTTCCGCCACCACTTACTTCGCCATTACTCACTTCGAAAACAACTCAAACTCGTCCCCAGGTCTTCTCGGTTAACGGTTCAATAACCTGCATTTTCACCGCACTTTTGACGACATCGGTTCAATATGGCAAAAATTTTCCGAATTTGGTCAACAGTGGCTGGTTATGATGAATTATGCTTGTGATTTTAGTCAATCAGAAACAGAGAAATATTTTGAATGAATAATATATAATTTTATACGCATGTATTAAGTTTAAACATAAGTATATTTGCATAACCTAAAATACGGTCAACTCTTTCTGAGACGGACAGTCAGAGCTTGTCCCAAAGATGTCCGTCTTAGAGAACGGTATCATGACACCAGCAATTTTAAAATTGAAACTATACGAGATGAATAAACGTCTGTTGAACTTGCACAAAACAGCTACACCTGAACACTGCAGCAAAAGTGGAGTTCTTTACTCATTGTGCAATCAGACGTTCATTACAATCAAACCGCTTTCACGGGTTCGTGGTCTAAAAGCTAAACACTATACGCTCTGTTAACTACCAAAGCAAGACTACTAAATATCAAACATTTTGCAGTTTAAGTTACTGTCATGCAGAGCACCTACATTTCCGTTTTGAGGTCTTTGTCACCACATAAAGCACTTCCAAATTTGGCCGTTGACGGTTTCAAAAGTGTCCGTTGTCCGTCTTAGAGAGATTTCCTTATTATAGAAAGTATGGTGACAGTAAGATGACTAAGGTTACAGTAAAATGACTGGGACCAAACCTAGGTGTCCATCTTACAGCGGTGTCCGTATTATAGAGAGTATCAGGTTACAGTCAGATGACTAAGGTTACAGTAAAATGACTGGGACCAACCCTAGTTCTTACTAGACAGAAGTCCGTCTTATAAAGTTGTCCGTTAAGAGAGAGTTTACTATAAATCGAAAGGGAGATGGAAGAATTCGAGACAGTACTAGAAAGCTTAAGGCGGCTCGGTTATCTCAAATATTGTGTCAAAACTTTTTCCGCTTTAACGCAAAGGCTACGAAAGTTTGAAAAGTCCGAATATACAATTATTTTTTAAAAGGGGTGTAGAACCTGTTTGACGATGTGTCAGCTTGACGCGCATATATCATATAGTTTACTACTCTAATTTTAACTCATTTGAATTAAGAGTTGTAAAAAAATTCCAAATAATGATATTTGTCAAATATTATCTGGAAAAAAGATCACACCCAAACTCTTTTATCTCTTTTACATTTCAGAATTAATCATAAAAGACTGCTCTAAACTTGGTCAAAGTGGTTTGGCATCTAGTGGAATCTACTACATCAACCCAGATGGTGGCAGCCCAATACAAGTACTGTGTGACATGACTACGGACGGTGGAGCTTGGACTGTCTTTCAGAGACGTTTAGACGGTTCGGTTGACTTTTTTCAGGGCTGGAAATCATACAAAAACGGGTTTGGAAATCTAAGCGGTGAATTCTGGCTTGGAAACGACAATCTTCATCGCTTGACATCAGCCTCTGATGACGTCATGCTTAGAGTTGACCTGGAGGACTTTGATGGCAACATAACATACGCTGAGTATACAACATTTCAAGTAGCTGACGAAGCAAATAAATACAGGATTATGATTGGAGGATACAATGGTACGGCTGGTGACTCGATGGTAGATGACGGAGGGCAGACCCAAAAGTAAGCAAATATTTCGCTGGTAATTAATTTGTAGCAACAGAAAAAGACAAGGTCAATACTGCGCTCATAAGCTCTTTCACTTTATTATAAGCCACCTCCAGTTATAAACCCATCTATAGACCCGTAAACCAAAAAATACATCCTATTACAAGCCTCCGGATATAAGCCCCTTGAGGATCTATTGAATTCGATTTATAATGACATTTTAGATTTATTATGACGTTTTGAAGGTTAATTAAAAAAACAGTAAATGCAAGACCTATTAAGACTGCTATATCTTGTTTCAAGGCGCTGTTTCTATTTCGGGTATAAAACAGCTCGGATATAAGCCCCTCCGTTTATAAGCCCTTCTAAAACCCCTGACGAAGATATATAAGCCCAGGGATAAGTGGCAGTTTACGGTATCAAATCAACAATCTTTCAGTAATATAATTTCCTTTAAAGCCCATCTTACACTGCTGCAAGAGCCCACAACCCGGAGCCAGCAACTCCTGTACTCGGCCTATGTCACGGCGTTTTTACGGACCAGTTTATTTTTAGACACATTTTAGGGCACTTTTTCCCGCGAAAATAGAATCTAGACCATGTCTATGAGTGCATTCGTTAGGTCTGTAGGTTTAGCTGACCGGTTTGTGGAATTTAAAAGATAGTCAAAATTCGCGCCAAAACCGTTTCAAGGCGTGACACGAGCGCATAGAAGTTGCTCACTCTTGACTGTTCTTACGATTCTTTTTACCATTACGATAAGTCATCGCCAGCCCCGACCACCTTAGATACCTTCTCCCTCTTATTCAAATCATTTATTAATTGGTAAAGTCTCTATACTCTTAAGCGACCACAGCCACATACTTGGCATCTGTATCTGAACTGCAGGTGTAGCAGTGAGCTGTAATGCACGAAGCCTTTACTTCGGAAGCATGATGCGTATTACTCCAATCACCCCATGCAAGGATGGAAAATTTTGCTTGAGGAATCCGGAATCTGGAACAAATTCGCTTGTGGAAAACGAAATCCTGGTCTTTGGAATCCGGAATCCCACTAACAATTGGAACCCGAAATCCAAGTTCCAATTTTAAAAAAATGAAGAATCCAGTACCTGGAATCCGAAAATCCACGGCGCGGAATTCAGAATCCAAGACCGTCTTGGATTCCCTTGCATGGGGTGACTCCAAAGTCCGAACTCCAAATCCACCTTGAAATCCACCTCGAAATCCTAACTTGGTAAATAGACAACCTCCTGACAAACAAATCTCTTTGTAAAATTTGACTATGTGCCATTATCAAACTGTGACTTTTTTCTGTAGTAACTCGCAGTTTTCAACCAAAGATGTCGACAATGATCTGTATAAGCCTGACAATTGCGCTGTTTTGAAAAGTGGAGCATGGTGGTACCATTCCTGCAGTTGGGCCAATCTAAATGGTTTGTATCGTCGGGGATCTTATAACACCAGCTACCCTAACGACGGAGTAAGATGGGTCACGTTTAGAGGACTGTATTATTCGTTGAAACGCACTGAGATGAAATTAAAACCTAAACCATAAAAGGCAATGGTATAGGCTCTTTGCATGACTTGATCACGTGATCAACTTTCGATAAACACGAAAATAGGTCACTTTTGAAAAATTTTGTTAGCACAAGCTGAAAGAGCATTATTAAAATTAGGTAACCTGAGAATTTTCAGCCTTATATCTCAAAGGTAGCGATTGCAACGGCCGTCGAAAGTTGGAGGCATTTGTAGGAGAAAAACAACTTTTGCCATCCAGTCACCCTTGCATGGTTTTCCATACAACTCCTTGTCATTTCGAAATTTTCAAAACTGTCATGGAATATTTCCTTAAGCATTTTAGGGCTCAAATCTCCTTTTAATTCATAACAGGCAATTTGTGCGCGTGCCCTTAAATGCCTAAGGGAAAGATTTAAAGACAGTTTAAAAATTGTAGAATTTACAAGGATTTGTATGGAAAACCATGCAAGCGTGACTGGATTGCAAAAGTTGTTTTTCTCATACAAATGCTTCTAACTTTCGGCGGCCGTTGCAATCGCTACTTTTGAAATATAGGGCTGAAAATTCTCAGGTTACCTGATTTTAATATGGTCTTTCAGCTTGTGCTAACAAAATGTTTCCAAAGTGAACTGTTTTCGTGTTTACCGAAAGTTGATCACGTGATCACAGTCATGCAAAAAGCCTATTACGGCATTATGATGCTTTGCGTCCCCTCATTTAAGTCGCAATGGTAGACATTTGAAACCATTTGCTACCTAATCTTATGAAGAGTGCATGCTATATGACCTTTTAAGTATAGTTACGGCTTCAGACTACAACCTGGTCACACAGAACGTACTCGGTTATGGATGGATGGCCTTAATTCTGGCAGTCTATCTTGTATTCAACACTTATTTTTTAGAAAGGAGAAAGTAACTAGAGCCGAAATGTGTCTAGCACTTACTTGTGGGATCGTTACCGCGCTGGACAGCAATTGGACATATTTTTTTCCCTGTCCCAAGTGACAGTCCCAGAAGTCTTTGCCAAAAATAACTCCAAGCATTTGTACTCAGTAGATTTGACCGGCTCTTACAATTTTTGCCTTAATCATAACTATAACAAAATTGTCAAATCTGATTGGCTATCAACTGCCCTGATTTCAGCCTTAATTGGAAAGTTTAATACGACAGTACGCGTCATGCCTAAGTAATTGGACAGTACGTGCCACCACGCGCGCGCTGAAATGGCTTTTTTTTTCTCACTGCTAGCAAAACAAAATTTCGAATTTCTTGTGTTTTGATGTTAAAAATAGCCTATTATATCACAAATTTTGTTAAAGTTATGATTAATTGGTAACAGAACTTCGTGTCGTCTAATTCGGTCTGTAATCATACTCGAGATTAAACAAATCTGACTCCCGCTACGCGGTCGTCCGATTTTGTTAATCACTCGTATGATTACAGATCGAATTGGACTCCGCTCAGTCCTGTTACCATTACTTAACTTATTGACGAAACGTAAGGTCAAGATGGCTGAAATTGGCCAGGTTTGTTTTTTCCTTTTTATATTAACCAAGACAAAGACGAGTTTCACAGGAACAGCGCAAAACAATTTAGTAGAAGAGGAAGGATCCCAAAATTTTAGCCGTCGTGACTGAACAAATCTGGTCATAATATGGCCAAAGCAAACTATTTTGCTATGGAACAAAGCGGAGCAGTCTCGAGAGGAAAAATAGGCCCTAAATTCTCGCTCGGGTAGACAATCGAAAACAGGATTCCCTTTTTCTTTCCCACTTGCAGGCCATTTTGACATCACACTTACAGTTAATTCTGAACCAGAAAATTTTTAATTGATAAAGTGACAATTCGAATACGATTGGTTTTATCATGTGACACCTGTTAGAATGTATGTTTACAAGTGCCCATTGCAGATCACGTGATGTTTGTAAGCGAATTGATCTTTTGCCTTGCGATAAATGAAGGATGTATGCAAAAAGTATGAGTACCTCCAATTTCCAATAGATTGTGAGAACTCCCTTTTTAGTCAGTGCAGGCTTGGCAGGACAGGCTAGGTAGCCAAAAGCCCCATCCCGCCTTCCTCGGATTCATGATAGAATTTTAATATCTCGAACGTAGGCTATTGGCATAAAATAGGCTTACCTCTTATTTGTGTTATCCTAATAAAGTTTTAGGATTATTACGCGCGAAGATGAATATTAGAGTGCGGAAATAGAGCATTTACCCGTAGTTTGTTGATCTTCTTTAATTAATTGTTTATTAGCCTTTTAATTTTCATAATCGTAGTTTCAGCATTCATATTCAATTGTAACTTAAGTTTGTCTTTTATACGTGTAATTTTTTGTTATTTGGTACATTACTTAGCCCAATGAGTCCTGTAAATCAATTCTCAAAAACCCAATTGGGAGAATAAAAAAATATACCATATTGTATTGTACTGAAACTACAGTGGAACCTCGGTTTAACAAAGTGCCAAGGGACTGGGGAAAGTTTTTCGTTATATCGAGGGTTCGTTATATCGAAAACCCGGATTTAACGAATTTTTTTAAAAAAGAAACAAAATGTTCGCTTTATCGAGGTATAGTTAATGATTAATTTCCAACGCCCAGCATTTCAGGATGTGAACAATTTCTGTAATAAAGATTTTGTATACGAAGCTATTGTCTCAGTTCAGAGCTGTACACGATAGCTACGGCACTAGAAACACAAGAACAGACTGACAACTACTGTAAACATAAATTTTATCCTCATTGGTCTGTTTCGCATTCATCTCTAGCTATCTTTCGGTCACATGTTGACATGTTATATTCTACGTTTCGTTTCTTTATTGTGTTCGTTATACCATACATTTTATTGTACCTTTGGCCGGGCTGAAGAAAATCGTTTGTTATACCGAGGACTTCGTTATATAGAGGTTCGTTAAATCGAGGTTCCACTGTACAATGCGGGTAACGCAGGTAACAATTAGAGAGCTTTAGATTCAAGGACTGAGGACGACTACGAGTACGAGATTTGACTTTTAAGTTTTTTCGCGTTTTCTTAAAATATAGACTCCTCCCCGGTAAGCTTCCTTCTACCAGTTTTCGCCACTTCGACATTCTCGCTAAGACTCGAATAGGGACCTTACGAAACTACGAGCTAAACAACACTCTGCACGTGCATCACGCTTTTTTGTACATTTCTTTGCTCTGTCCCTGCACAAGTACGACTTCAAATGACCAAATTTTAAGTTTACTTGAGAACGGGTAGCGGCAAGGCGATACATTCTACTATCTTTATCTGAATTCGGGCGCGGTCCCCTCTCTTCAGCTCCAACCAAAGTTCCCTTCTTTTAAGTAACAGGGCGAATTGGGATAATCGCGAAAACGTTTCAAAGAATGGGACGACTATTTTTCAGCGACGTTTTCATAGATGTCGCCGTTGTCGGATCGTAAGGTCCCTTCTAGGGTGACGACGGCTACTACGTTTTCCCGCCAAAATGACGCTGGTTTACGCGCGCTTACTACTTAGTACTGAGAAAATCTCGTACTCTATGTCGTACTCGTCTTAGAATCTAAAGGTCTCTAATAGTTTGTGCAAAAACCACCTTTTTAGCCTCTGTTCACACTACACAGGATAACCTATCGACTCTATCGATACATCCGGTACAGAATGTTCAGCAACGCAGATCCAGAACTGGAACAACTCGTTCACACACATCGAATATCGTACCAAAGCTGTTAACCGAGAGGGCTTGGTGAACTAAATCCCAGTCCTATCTCCCAAATATTTTTTTCCGTCTCAGTGGACTCCAGTCCTCTCTCCCATTTATTCACTCCCGTGATCCTCCCGTGACAGTCCGAATACCTCAGTGTTCACACTGCACCAAAGTGTGGCACTGAATCTATCTCATATGTGACGTTCCACTTTCAAGATCAGTGCTCCGTTCCAGTAATCGCGCCGTAATCACCGTTCTTATGTGTGAACAGAGGCCCTATCCGAAACGGTTTTCGCGCCTGCGCAAGAGCTACCCGATATGGTGTGAAAATAGCCTTAGTTAAGTGCATCTCTACACAGATGAGCAGTTCCTTTCTGAGCACTTCAGGATGCATTGTTATTGTTATTTTAAAAGTAATACAAAATTTGTTTCCAAACAACTTAAGGCGATGCCGTTAAAGAGAGTATTGGTAACGACAAGTTTTAGTGCAGCGAAGCGTTGCATCATTTTTGCGAACTTGTTTGGACTTTTTACACCATTATTGTCCTAGAAATTGTCGTTACAAAGCATTTCGTGTAACATCACCTTTACTCTAATACTATATATAAACAAATATGCACAAGCTTTGAGAATTAGAAATAAAATTTTCATCAACTACATATTAAAGCTGTCATGAACGAGCATGGGGTTGCAGACGGCAACATCTTGTCAATGTTTAATGATCCGTCATTGTGGCTGAGGCGTCACTGAAAAATATAAAGAAGGAGACTTAGCTTAAATTACTATCAGCAGTATTGTGTCTTTGCCAATAAATATTTTTCAACCACATAGAACCTATTCTTCCTTGATTCACTCCGAAGAAATGCGTTAGGTTTAGAATGGTTCCTGACCATGGTCGAGTCACCATATCAATTCAGTTGATAAATATGATAATTTCCACTTATTTCACAGCTAGCAACACAGCTACGCAACACAAATTTCTAAGAAGCTTGTCCACGGGAGTTATCCATAAGAAGTATACATTCGCTTAAAGGCTGATTTCCTTTTGATTCCCTTCATTTTAGTCGTGTGGTTGTATAGCACTGTATACCGTCTTTTTTGGATTTTGGCAAGTCTATGAAAACTGCAAGAGCAGTAGTTCCTTTGTTGGTGATTATTACATTTACTTCGTACAGCGTGATTCTCGTACTCTCCCCTGAACGTGGAATAACTATGGGTTCTTTGTCTCAGTTTCGTTAGCAGACTTGCTTTTCTTTTACCTCGACTAGAACATTAACACGTGATCATTATTTTACATTACCCTGGAGCAAGAAACTCACCTTTGTTAGCCCAGAGTCAATGTCA